TGGAGGTGCGCGAGCGGCGAGATGCCTCGGCAGGCGGGAGAGATGACGTGGGACGCTAGGACTACGCCCCAAGCACACAAGCCCCGACGCGCATAGGCATATCCTCCTTTCATCGACATCATTGCGCAAGACCATACATCGATCGTTCATTCTATTCATGAGGTGCGACATGTAATGCGAAGAAAACCAACTGACATTAAGGGAGTCATGATACAAAAGAGTGTCCAGAGTTGAGTCCCATCTCCCAGCCTACTAATCACTATCAGAGTCATCGTCGTCCTCACTCTCGCCACCTGAGCTTGAGTCGCTTCGCTTCTTCGATTTGGAGGGCTTCTTCTTCTTCTTTTTCTTCTTCGCATCATCGTCATCCTCACTCTCACTCTCTGAAGAGTCCGAGTCGCTTTCCTTCTTCGACTTAGACTGCTTATTCTTCTTCTTGTTCTTTCTTACTTTCTCTTCCTCCTTCTTCTGCTCTTTCCTCAGTCCTTCCCTATCAGCTTTGGCCTCATAAGTTGAACCCATCGTTTCAGTCATGTAGGTATCAAACTCTCTAGCGGTGCTCGCAATCTTTTCGAATTCCACTCTTCCCACACTGATCTCGACATCCTTACCGTTATCGTAGCCTGCACCACCCTTTTGGGTTCTGGCGCGGAACTCAGCCATGGCAACTGCGGTGTGGAAGGCGTTACGGATCTGACGTCCATTCCAGCGTGCCCGCTTGCTGTCTTTGCTGTCCTTCCAGTGCTTCTTGGCAAACTTGATGATCTCGTCTCCATTGATAGTGACATGGCTACGGCCGCTGCTCTTAAGCACATGCACGGTCTGATTAATGAAGGTCTGCCACACTGCGAGTGTCGTTTTCTTGTCGAAGTCCGGGTCTAGGGCACCAGCATTAGAGTAAGCATCGTGGCAGATTGGACACAAACTTACAGAACAGCGAGATGTGCACCCGAGATGTGAAAGCCTCGTCAAATGTCCCCACCCGATTAGTGGTCAGAAAGAGTAGACCTTTGTAGTACTCTAACATGCGGAGGAACACCGACACGATACTGTTGCGCTGAAGGTCCTCCATTTTTCTTCTAGCAAGAAAGACATCGGCTTCGTCTAGCAGCATCACGCAATCCCAGCGGCTAGCGAGGGTGAAATGCTTCTTCAAATTCTTCTCGACGTCTTCTGCCGTGCTTCCGAGGTCGCCGCAAGTGATAGGATAGAGCGGCTTCTCCATCAGATCAGCAATGCACTCGGCTGTGCATGTTTTACCGACGCCAGGAGCACCTGAAGCTGGTCAATAATGACGCTGAAAATCTTGAGAAAAAGCATTTACCGTGAAGAAGGATGATGAGGCCTTGTCCTTTGCCCCGAACCAGATCCATGTCATTCTCCATGCTTCCGGTTGTAGCTTGCGATACTCTCTTCCGAAAGTGCTCACGGACTTGCGACTCAAGGATACTTTTGTGGTCGTCAGATAAGACGAGCTTGTCAAATCCTCCGCCCTTCTCACTCTCCGGTAGTGCTTGAAGATCCTGCACATTTACTTGCACTGCTAGTTGTCAGCACGAATCTGCTACTCATGATGTATCGAATACTCACCCCACTCCCGCGAACGCAGCTTGTAAGCGAAGACGCGGTAATGACAGATACTGAAGTCGGACGGGTCTACAAGACCGGCACTTGACGCGCCTGATAGCGGGTTGAACACCGGCTTCTCATTAACGTACTCCTGGTACGTTTCCAAATCCGTCGTTTGATCGTGCACGACTGGACTGCGATGATAGCAGGAAACGCATGAGTAGCTACATTCCTTTCCTTGTCGGCAATCGCTGGTCTCTGACAGATCAAGCTCTTCAGGCTCCAGGAACGAAGGGATATCGCTAGGGTTGGTGCCAAAATACCCTTTCATGTCAACGATGACTTTGTCGTTGAGCTCCTCACGGGTCACGAGTTCGAGACCCTTGCAATCCACGTATGGCGCAATAGAAGCGGAGACTGTTTCAACGAAACGCTTACCCCGTTCTTTCAGCATGTCAGCTACTCCAGCAGCATACTCCATGGGGATGACATCGAGGTCCGAGATGTTTCGCTCTCCATGATAGGGAGCAATGACTATTCGTCGCCGAACAGGTACCAGCCTAGAACCGTTGAAATCCAAGTAGTACGTATAAATACAGAATGGATTGGTGCCGTTTATGGGCTCGATTTTGTCCGTCGAGGTAAGCAAGTGGACAGGAGATTGGAAGACAGGAGCCGGGAGTTTTGGCATAATGACTCTTCTGCCACCAGCTGTCATGAGAACTCTCATGCCCAATCGACCTTTAGTCTCTGTTCCATCTAGATTCGTCGATCGCTTTGTGACCACGAGATCTCCAGTGTGAAATAGGTGCCACAGGTCACAGAACCGGACCTTTTTTGCCTTACGCTCCCGAAATTCCATATGGCCAGGCAGTAGGTAATTATCGAACAGGTCCCTGATACTTTTGAAAGATTTCTCGACTTCAGAGAGAGTTGGCCATCCGTCCATGTACTCCCCCTCGCACCCGTTAGCCACGTCGTAAAGCTCGAGCTCTTTCAAGACAGTGTCCCACTCCTCTTCTGAGATAGCATCAGGAGCAGAGGCCTCTTCAGTCACTGCATTATCTCCTGCCTTCTCTCCGGTCTCCTCCAGAGCCTTGTCATGAGCGTCATCTGTGACTTGAATAGCTTCGTTTGGCTGGACTGCTTCGGCGCTTTCGTCTAGATCTATGACACAACTCGCCGGTCCTGCGTCTTTTTCTGCACGGCGATCGACTATCCTAGTCAGTGCAGTAACGACTTCCGACATGATGTTTAGTATCTCTTCCCTGTTCTGGAGTAGAGGCTTGAAGGGTCGTAGCATCATAATGTCCGTGTCTGTACCGTCGCCTGTGAGAAACTTCCGGAACAGGTGTGTGATTGACCTTTCCTCGATGAGGATTAGACTTGGAAAGTGTTTGTTCTTGACCTTGACCATTTCCTCCGCAAGTCTGCGCTCATCATTGGATGCCGAAGAGCGTTCCAAGATTGGGTCAGATGCAATCCTCCCATCATCCATGTCGTTGTCCTCCAAGCTTTTAGATTGCTTTTTCCGTCGTAAAAACCTGTCAGATTTCTGTGCTTCTGGTTCTCCAACAAAGACATCGATTTGGTGGACTCTACGAGTTTCGGAGTCATGCTTCAGTCCCTTCGAGAGGTGGAATTTCAGCTCGGGCTCCAACAGTTGCCTCTTCGCTTTGACCTCTGGAGATGGTGGACGAGATATCTCCTCGCCTCCCAATAGCCTGCGTAGCTTCTTCTCGAAGAGCTCTGTTCCCTCTTCCAGAAGCGTGAGTCTCTCTTCCAAGATCTTGTTATATTGGTTCACCTGCTTTACGCGTCTCGGCGCAAGCTTGATGCGCGATTTCATTACCTCGCGCCTGCGGACCCACATATCCGTCTCTGAGTCGGGATCAGTACCACTTTCCTCATCGATCTCCGGCTCAGAAGCATCAGATGCGTCCATTTGGCTGCCAGCGCGGTCTGTCCCCAGCTCGATACTGGGGGGACGTGACCCAGTAGCTCTTATTTCTGGCACCGGTAACGCGGAGACCTCGGTGATATTGGTAGGTACTGGATCGCTCTTGGAACTGTCTGGCTCGCGCGGAAGCGTCGCAGTGGCCTCTTCCAATGCCGAATCTACATCTACCACGTTATCAGTAACTTCCAAGATTCAGTAGCGGTGCGACGTACTAGGAGTATTGCGCTCATGGCTCATGGAGAGCGCAATCCCGGAATCTTCTGAACCAGACATAGTAGCGTTGGCACTCTCGCTAGATTTGCGCTCGTTTCTACCATCTATTAGTTAGGTCCCCTGGGTGTGATCCGTGACCTCCAACGCAGAAGTTCAAGCAGCGCGACAGTATCTAGGGTAAGCTTATGGCGTCAAACATGCGTTCCAAGGTTCACTTCAAATATTATTAATAACTCAATTGCGGCTGAACGAAAGTGTACAGGACACGCATGAAGGAGATCCATTCTAATCATGCACACTCATCCTGATTTGTACGCATGGCTGTATTCCAAGTCATTGATTGATGCGATTACTTTCAGAAGATGGGGTCCAGATGGCGGGCATGCACTTGCGACTTGCATGGACCCTCCTAGGTTTGGGCCAATCAAGGGTGGTCTAGCTGACACCTACCTATCTTGGTCGGCCCCCAAAATCTACTGACCGATCATGAATCCTTCGATTTTGCGACAGCCTTGGGTTCCAAAGGACACGTAGAACGACGGGAATCTCGTGTACGTTGCCAGGGCCCACACAGGCAGTCGTTAATGGGCGACTCAATGCGCCTTAGCAAAGCCCAGGTAGACTTCGAAGGTTCGCTTGACAACGCAAAATACGCGTCTTGATGATGAGGCGGGCTAAAGTCTAGCTGGCTCGTAATACTCAGCTTATCTCGACGTATGCGGTAGCATGCACTGATGATACGTGCCGGTTTGCAGGGTACCAGGGTGTTAGCGGGTGGGTATTGCCGCCGCACTCGCGCTCTGGCGCTCCCAAGATCGTCTGCGTTCACACCTAGGCAGTCACAGGACTTGCAGTTGGTCGCAACGTATCCATGGATTACTCACCATATCTATCACTAGATCAGGTAGAATTAGGGCGTCCGGCATCGACAACGCGGAGCTACGTGCCTACCGCATAGTCAGCACATCGAATGCAGGCAGCCTGAGCTGAACACAGTCACCGGAAATACCTGATTGAAGCGAGCTGCAAGGCTATGGGTGCGTCACCTTCTCGTTCCATTGGTAATGCGCTCATGCATGTCAGCTTTGAAGCCTTCAGCCTTGTCCGACTATCAAGGTATCTGCCGGTCGCCACTTCCGGATGTTTGGAAGCGCTCTATGAGTTATCGTAGCATTTTGCGATCGGTTCAGCTGCGCTCCTGTTGACCCTACGTCGAGGATCTTCTGTGCTGTAGGGTCTGCGCTACTTCGAAGGAACTATGTCCGCCCACCAACCGATCGAAGTCGGTTTTCCCTGTCCATCCGCACAGCCCATATCAGTTGACTATATCGAGAATCGACATACGGAATTTCGGGATGAGCACGGCGAGCTACCATTCAGGTTTGACGCGAGCCGTCAAAAGTTCGTAGCTCGCTCGGTCGCGTGGGATGCAGCACCCTCAACTAGTGACGAGGAATTGAGAGACAGCAAATTGCGGGTAGTTGCAACCACGAAGAGCTTCTCCAATGCTCTCTCGGCATTGAAAGAGAAGAAATCTAAGGAGAAGAAGATAGCAAGCTTCGATCTCGACTCTTACCACGACTGGAAAGAGATCACTGGGCTCATACAGGTGGTCGTGAAAGAGTACCACAGCAACGACACGACATGGGACCGAATTCGCAGTGGATTTCGGACCGTTGGAGACAACGCGAAATCTATGCAGGCTTTTATAGGCCTATTACCTGACGGGGAGTACAAAACTCTGTGCGGAGGCCTGACATTGATCTTGACTGTGTGTGATGCCAATCACATATGTGACTCCATAGACTGACAGATGTGGTAGGCCATGACGGAACATTCTCAAGTCCGCGAGAGAATGGCAGATCTGCTGCAAGAGGTTCCCGAAGTCGTCAATAAGTGCGAGCAGTATCAGACACTCTACCCTGGGCGCAATACCATACAGCTGTGCGTCAACGATATCTACACCAATCTTCTTATAGCTCTGGAGAAGATAATCGACTGGTATAAGCAGTCTTCCTGGAGTAAGTCAACTCTGCCAATACCACCAACTATAAGTCTAGAGCGCACGTCCCGTACTGATTCGCATAGAACACGCCAAAGACAGTCTTTTGAGGAACAGTAACTACGGGAAATGGATCGATAAGTGTGTTGATAACATCCGGCAGTCTAGGAGTCGCTTCACGGAGGAAACCCAGTTGTACCTAGCTTGGTCTCAAAAAGCCACACTCTCAACAGCGCTCGAGCTCAATTCTCGATCCCATGAAATGAACGAAAACATATACCGCGTCGACGAACATGTTGGACAAGTCAGCGATGGCATTAACGCTCTCAAGGATCATTTCGATGACGTGATCAAGAATGCTAAGTGTGAGCCACAAGTCTTCCTGGTTGCATTGGCGTGCGGCTGACATCAAGAAGGGAACAGTGACATAGACAATCTCAAGGAAGAACTGAAACGGGAACGATTGAGCTTAGAGAACTACAGTAAGTTTGAACGTATTTCTCCATCGCCGCGAACTGACCCGCGCTTAGAGCGAAGGATAAGCGAGCTCGAGGAGCGAGTCGCAAAGACGGCGCTTACTCCGAAGGATCTTATGAAAGAGCTGGACCTGGACCGATCTGAGCATACACATGTACCAGAGGTCTCCACGGTACTCAAGGACGGGCTGAACAGCCCAACAAAGTACCAGAATCGCGCAGGCTGGGTAGGAAACACCGCCGAATTCCGAGATTGGCTAGGCGGGCGAGACAAGTCTCAAATACTGTGCATTCAAGGCCATGGCGAGTTCGAGAAGACTTCTCCGCTGAGCTTCCTCATCGCGCTTCTCTACGAGAAACTGGAAAGGACGCCGCGCACACTCGTTCTCCCATTCTTCTGTGGACTCAGCAGAGTGCGCTCTGGACCAGCAATCATGCTACGAGCGTTCTTCATCCAACTGCTCGCTGCATGCAATGCTCACGGAGCAACGGACGAGGAAGGCCTTCCTCTACTTTCTTTTTTGGGCCACGATGACGTGGCGAACATGGAAGACATGTGCTTGGAAACATATCAAAATGCGGTAGTACAGCTGTTACGCGAGTTGCGGAGGGAGCATAAAGCGATTTTCATCCTCATCGACGCCGTCGACTTCTACGACTCAGACTGGGGGGACGAGATGGATGATTTCATGAAGAACATGAGAAAGCTGGTGAGATCGTCCAACAAGGCAGCGGACGGAACGTCGGGTGGTGTTCTAAGGGTTCTCGTAACGGCGTCAACATGGTCGAAGCGGTTTTCGACTCCCAAGAAGCCGATGGTCCTGCTTGATCTGCCCGAGCATCTGGATGGGTCGATGGACGGGTTCGAGAGGTTTACGTAGATAGGCAATTCGTATAGTTTTGGGCGATGATAATCGCAACCCCTTCTCGTGTCGTGAGCCTCATTTACTCCCACTGTTCCTCGTTAATTCTTACTGATCTCTTCTTAAATTTGCAGGCTACACTGACCTTAACACTCATAACCGTGTTGCATGTGGACGCACACTGCCCCGTCGCATACATCGGGAGCGGTAGCACCTCGACAACTTCTTCGGAAGCGCTCGTTTGTCCAAGCAGCGCTCGATGTCGGTGTGATAATGTGTATGGCTTTACAGGTTGAGAAGCCGGGTAAAGACTTATCCTTCACCCTCCATCCGTCTCAACCACCCCATAGATATGCGGCATCTTGTCTCTCTTGTTCGCGTTCAACCATTCGCAGGTCGTTTCCCAATCTGCTTCCAACTCGTCCTCATCAAGAGAGAGCGGATAGGCTTCCTCATATGGTAGGGTTTTGTCTTTCTTTAGTTGAATTCTCATAGTGGTTCGATCGAGTATGTCCTTGCGCTGTTTTGCAGCCTGTTGCTGGAAGGCTTGGTAGAAGTCTTCGCCGTACTCTTTGAGATCTAGCCATACATTCAGAGTCGTCGCGTCCCATATAACACTCAATCTGATCCTATCAGTAGCCTTTTTAGGATCAGCATCACGAGCCGGCGCGCCAGGGCCAAAATTAGGTCTAAGCGGATGTGGATGTTCGATATGCGTATCCATGACCGTAGGCGCTGGTGAAGACTGTTGGCCCTCCATATCTCTTGCGTAAGACTGCTGCCGGGAGATAGGTGGCTCTCCCACCTGATGTGGGTCGTATCGGTCGTCATGACGGTGGATGGAACTTGCGCCGTCATAGGTTACTGCCGAACGATGAAAAGATGCTGGAGGTGGTGTCGGGGCAAGGGGGCGGAATTCCTGCTTGTAATTCTGGAAAGTTGAAGGTTGCCGAGCTGGGGACTGAGGGACAATAGTAGGTGTGTATTCTGGCAGAAGCGCGCATCTAGTCAGCCAAAGCGCATAATCCACTTATCGCTACACTGTATACACACCTGCAATCTCTTGACCCGAATCGTCGTAGCCAAGAAGGATGTCTATGTCAAGCGTTTCTTTTGGTACCACGTAAAACAAAGTTTCGTGTGTGGAATTGGAATGAGGTTGGCGCCATGTAAGCTCAATGGCGCATGAGACTGGTACCAGTCGAAGTTCTCCGGTTACGCGATGTGGCACTTCCACGTGGGTTAAACCGGCCTGACTTATATTGAAAGAGTCTTCGAGTTGTCGTCTGCCAACAACGTCACCGCGTATCACGCTGTGCTTGATCAAGGCCGGTCTCATTCGGACCTTGTGGTCTACGACCTTGGTGCCGACGAGGGTAGGAAGCAGGATGTACTCTCCCGAGCTGTTTTCGTCCCTGGTAGAGTGAGATGTTACTGATGATGCTGTAGCAGGAGGGCTTATCGGATATGATGTCGAGGGAAAGCGGCGTGGCGGCCCCTGGCGGGGAGGCGGAGTTCCAGTGTGTTGCGATCCATGTGAAGAGGGCGGAACACGTGGTGGGAATGTGACATTGATGTTGTTCCCGACAGGTAAGGAAGACTCGTTGTGCTTTGGTCTTGATTGTATTAGGGACGAGAACACTTCCTGGAGGGTTCTTTCCCGTTCTTCACAGCACCTAGTAAGGATCTCTACGGCCTGCTCTGGGCTATGGTCGACCAGCTGTGCGACACATTCACGTATGCGATAGCGATCCATGATGTGCAGTCGAGGCGATCGGGCTGCATCTAGGTGGGGCTTACTGATGTCGCACGGACGGAGTTTGGGACGCTGCGGGAAGCAGCGCTAGCTAAGGTGCAATCGTCCATTGTTGCTCATGGTTGCCGTGGCGTGAGGAGGTAAGGAATTGATGATCCTGCGAAGCGCACTGCGTGTAGCACGAGTCTCGCGGCAAGGCAGAAGATGATGGGCGCGCAGGCCGAAGATTCGCACAGGAACCAAGAAGCGCTTATCGTTTCATCGGTATCCAGGGTCATGATTCGCTTGAAAATACGCTTTGCCGTTGCGAGTTGACCGGAACTGCACGTCGATACAGGGCTGTGAGAACATCATCCAGCAACCTTGAGGCAGCCGTATGCAGCCTGCAGCACACCGGTCAAGGCTTTTTCGTACCCCGCTCGGCTGGCCAGAGGCTTGTCCCAATCACAGCTCCACAGCCTTCCTTCATCGTATGTCTGAGGCATCCGAGTGTGGTCAACCCCATAGGTAGTTTCCTCAAAGCCGATGTTCTCCAGCGAATATTGTGGGCGCCGTCGAACATGTCGCAAATGTCTACTGCTAATCGTACGTCGAAGGAAGTTCAAGTCATGACGGGAGTAGCGTCTGTCAGCCGGAATATCGCCAGCGGTAATGCTCTTCAAATCAATGGCACCGTGGCAGACAACGTCTACAATTTCAGCATGTAAGTCGAACTCCGCTACAATGGACTGAGCACGCTCCTGACAATTCCAAGCAATACTTTGGTCGTAAATTATCAGTATGGCTGGGATCCGAAGATCGTTCACCCTGTGAGCCAATCAGCATTACCGAGTAGATGCATAGCGATGACGGACGTACGCAAGGTGTTGAAGACTTCAGCTCCGTCGAAGGTGTCTGCAACGTTCACTGCACAACTCCCAGTAAGAGCACCCAGCGTGACCATTTGAAAGGTGGCGGCTGACGACGACTAGATACGCGCTTCGGATCGGTCTGTCCACCAAGGACAAAACTTGATCCTCAAGCCTAGCAAGAATGACAGTCGGCACCCAGTCTTCGCCATGTTTCGACCCGATTTCCCACATAATTACATCGCGGAGAGGATCGTGCGTCGGCTGAGCCTCGTAGTATACAGGAGTTCTTCGTTCACGGTAGAAGCTGGCTCAGACCAGATCCACCTTCCGCCCACGAATGATTATGTCAATCTCGCCTGCTACCCGGAAGAAGAGAAAGACGACTTTGCCATATATCGCTTCTATGTTGTTAAGCATCGCCAGTTCGATCTCCTCTTCGGCGCTGGCTCGGTCAGGTCTGGCTAAACCGACAAGCGAAGAGACAAGAAGCGGCAATTGGAGTTAGGCGCAACCTCCACCGTCTTCCCGTCCGGGGTCCAAGGACGACGTGGCATCATGCACAAGTAATGTCAGCTTTCAACCGCTTCTCTCAGAGAGATGTCCATCCTCATTGGACGCCAATGGCGGTGCGAACTTGGAGTTCTTTTGGGGTGCATTTATGGCTGCAGATCGCTTCGCGGGGGCGAATCACCGGTCGCTATCTTGCATGCACGCTGCGAACTGTCACCGGACCAACCGTACTTACGGTCAACTCGCAATCGACACTGCGCCCCAATAACGCTCTGGGTAAGTTCAGCTGGCCATTAAGTGCTGTCTCGCACCCTTCGAGCTGTCTGCGCAATCTCCTAGTACTTGTGCTCTTATCTCTCCAAAGGAATTTCAACCGATACCTTGAACACTATGGTAAGTCCACTTCGTTTGTATGGGTGGCAAGGCTAATTGTCGTAACAGGCTGAAGCGGTGGCTGTTGTATCCGCAATCCAAGCTACTACTCAACTCGTAGAGCAAGTCTTCCGAATCTTCAAACGCCTCCGCGATGCGAACGCTCGTCAGAAAGGTCTTCCTGAGGTCCTGGCTCGACACTATAGCGAACTCAAAAGTATCAAGGCAATCATGGGTATGATCTACGATGAGCAGGACCTGAAGACACCCACTGTTGCTGCGGAGCTGGTTCGACTACAAGACGTGTCGGAGAGGCTGGCTGCCTTGATCAAGACTTTGGTTCCGTCAACCACAAGTAAGATGATCCAGTTTGCGCGCCAGCTGGTGGACGGCTCAGCAGACGAGAAGAAGCTGAGCGCCATCATGGGCGAGCTTGTCCAAGTGAAGGCTGTGCTCGTGCTGTCCATTCAAGTCGCCCACGTAGGAGTAGTCCGCACCATGGTAAGAACTTCGAGCCTCGAATCGTGTGAGACATTGACTGATTATGTGACGCATGTAGGGGAAACAAGCTGTAGCAAATGCGGAAGCTATACAGCGGATCGACGAGTCCTTCCGGGAGCTTGTCCAGGATTGCAAGGGCCTGAAAATTGCACAACTGCTCAAGGGCCGACGTCCATCAAGTGGGTTTCCGGCTGACGATGATGTATCCAGACTAACGATATTAGATGACGGCTTTGTCCCATTGACTCTGGCTGATCTCAAGGCTCTCGACAAGGCGGGTCATGGTGATGGCGAAGATAGCGAAGACGAGACGCTCGTTGATGACTCAGAAGCATCGCCACGAGAAGTTCCCGTCAAGACCGAACGCATCGTTATCAACAATGCATCTCGTGGTTACGCTGTTCAGGTCAATGCTCCGCTGGATACAGATATATACAAGCATTTGAGCAGTCTGAGAATCCAGGACAACGTGGCCGAGGAGCAGAGTGTGCAGATCAACTATGGCACGACGACCAAGTCGTTGTCGATACTTCTCGAGCTCGCGCGACTAAGGCAGGTAAGCGCGCCCGTAATCGCGCGGTGAGAGATTGCTGTGAGGGTTCGGGGCTGGATATGGCGGCCCTATCTTTGTCTCGTATAGTGTGAGAACAGCGTGACGGTAATGAAATGATGCTTCATCTATATAAGGCGAGATTGGGATAGTGGAACGTGACTGATAAAAGTACATAACTCGTAGTTACGTGAAAGAGAGCCACGCGTTGCAGTGTTCGGGCTCTCGCGCTCCTCCCTCCAACGCGTATGCGCTAGTGGCCCGGAGTAACCTTGATCCGACAATGGCCAGCTTCGGAAGCTTCCACGCCGTCACGGGCGTCAACACCAAGGTGCACCAGTCGCCATCGCTATCTCACCCACAACCTCTACTTCACCCTCTTCGCCGTCGCTCACTACACGAGTTCCTTGCATACAACCCCGCCCCAAACAACACCCTAACCCAAACAACGCCGCCGGCGCCCGCCACAGCCATGGCG